GGAAGTGACAGAATGGGATTCAAACCAAGAAAATCAAATTAGAGAATTCAGGCTCTTAAAGCAGGTGGCTAATAGCATAATAATGTACAGCATCTGCTACTAAACACAAGGTCTCCTACAAAACCTGAATAAAAGTAAAATAGTATAAATCTTTAACTTAGTAAGAAAGTCAAGGCTTAATTACATCTTCAGAACAGCAGAATTATCCTGAAGATTCAAATTCAGTTTCAAGATGGAAAGAAAAGGGGGAAAATATCCCCCAAGGAAAACGATTTTACAAAATACAGCTGTTAGCATTTATGAGGGCCAGTTTTTAGATGCAGGGCAGGCTTTGCTGCCCTGACAGTGTTTGTTTTCTCTTATTTGTACTTAGTAGAACAGATCCTATACATATCAAGGGACCCAACAGATCCAGGCTTGGCTGGGCCATGATCAGCTCGTCACAGAGCCAGTGCCACAATAGCGATAAATATAATAATTCTGGTATTTTTATCCTCAATGTATTCTTGAAAGTCTCCCAAACTGAGAAATAATATATTCTGAGAGATACAAATATAATTTTTAAATTGTTCTGAGTTGTTTAAACTATTCTGATAGTTTAGACAGGGAGTTCTGGAAAATATAGAACTGAAGGATGATTTGAAATTATGGAATGTCCAGTGGGTAGAATCTGTGCAACAGCTATGCTAATGCATCCCAGGATATCATGGGAAGAACAGATATCTTCTGCTTTTCTGAGAAAGTTGTCAGTCATCACTTTGTTGCCTGCCATAGGACTGGGTAATGATGGTTAGTGAGATCATTGAAAGTGAAAAAAAGTGAAAAGTGAAAAAGTGAAAAAATTTTGAGAATTTTTTTTACCCATAATATCCTAATAATAAAGCTACTCAGGAAAAAAAACTCATCAACTGAGAAATCGGTATAAATCAAAGTTTCAATTTCAAAATACAACCGATTCATATTAAAGTCTTATTTTAAAAAGGCCAGCTTCATGCTGAAGAGGTAAGAAGACATAATTCACATGGATATTTTCCTCTGGTGTCTTGAGTGCATGCTAAAAGAGGCTCGGTGTCTACAAGGCATCAACAAGCAACGCTGCACTTGAAGAGACCTCATGCATTGCATCGACATGTCCTTTACCATAGGAAACTCAAACTTCACACTGAGGATCTTTGTCTCTCTCTCATCTATATTTTTCATTAAAAAGTTGTAAAAAGTCCTTTTCAAGGCCAGACCGTATTTAAACTAAGTTTTCTATCTTAGAATCTTAATTGAGCTGATCACTCTGTTCTTCCTTTTCTAAATGCAAGCTTGATGCCTGTTTTCTTGCAGCTTATGTCCAAAGTCAGAATCTATGATGCCACATGAAAGGAAGCATTTGCCGGCAGTTTTATTAATTGCACTAAAAGGTAATGTTTCAAGGTTGATTAGAGTATCAACCATTTAGTACTTATTTAGCCCCTAAGCTTAAGCTCTGCATTAAAATAAAAGATATTGCTTAACATTTTTTTTTTGTTAGGTGGGTGATATGGGCAAGAATTTTAGAATTTAAATTTATTTTATAAGTTTATTTTATTGATAATAATATAAACATGTATTTAAGATTAATATTTATAATTTTAAATATATTTATAATGATTTAAAGTAGAAAATTAGTTATTAACATTTAATAAATAGACATTTATTAAATATTAAGTATTTAAATTATATTATTTACTATTTTAAAATTTAAAATGCAATACTACAATCCCTGCCTTAGGACTAGAATGACATCAGAATGAATTTTTATGCATCTTAGCACAGGCAGTGTGGCGACAGTGGTGGCACACATGTTGGGGTCATTGCATCTAGCGTGGTCTCTGATGGGTGAACTCCAAGATGGTTCTAGTCTCTACCCTATGCGTTGTAAAACAGGATGGACTGTGGAGAAATTATATTTCAAAGATGTTCTGAGGAGATTCCAATGATGGTAAGTGTCTATAAGAACAACTTGTCTATGTGTGTTTGAAAATGGTGGAGGAGGATGGAGACTTAATGTAGACGGTGCCTCCTAGGCCTGGCTGGTGTGAGAATCGCCTGGGTAGCTTTGGGAAACACTGTATCTATTGACCTTCTCTGGGTGACAAGAACCAGACTCTAGCATGAGTCTTCATGCCTATCTCTAGGTACATTAGAGAGAAAGTACATGAAGTAAGGCAAGAAGTCATAGTGTTTTTTTTTTCACCCCGATGACATTCCTTTATTAATCATTTGCCAGTGCACATGAAGAAAACTTCTTGTGTCATTGTGTAGCTGAAGACCAGACATCTGAAATTTCACTCAACCTCCTTTCACAATTCCCTGATCTTTCTCAATAAGCCAATATTTTCTTTTTTTTTTAAATATATTTTTTTATTTTTTGCAAATATTTTCTTGTGTGTAACTTTCTTTGACAGTTTTTTCCCCATTGGTATATTCAGATTGAACTTATGTTGTGACACTTTAAAATTTTATTTCCAAATTAGTGTAGCACATTTATCCAGGGAATAATTCGGCTCCCTAATTTGTATTAAGAAGACATGCACACTGAAAATATATCAATATTTATATTTTAAAAATTTAAATGACAATTAGTAGCATTCCTCATTAAATTCTGAAACAGTATCTGTACTCATCTTGCTTGGAGTTCCTTTCATCACAGTTTTTATTGTTTCCTCCATTGTAAAAGCTTCTTTTGATTTCCACATGTAACTCAAAGCGCTGCCTATAAAAATGGAGCATTATTCTTCGAAATATTTTAGAGTCCTCTGATTTACTTTTTAGAGTATTATACATGAATATACCTTCCAGAACTATAAGAATAGCTAACACGTATGCACAATTACTATGTGCAGAACAGTGCTAGATGCTTGATCAAAATTATCTCAGTTAATCTCCCTTCACAAATAAGAACCTGAAGCTTTGGAGTGTAAGTAATTGCCTCAACTGATACAGCTAACTTGTAAGTGTCAGGGCCTCTGAGGGTGAAAGCAAGTTTTAGAAGTAGTATACATATTAACAAATGCTTTAAGACCCTGGCAGGCAAAGGACTGAAGTATGCAGTATTTAGCAGTGATTTATTCATGAACATAATTCACACATTTTTATTGAACATAGAACGAAACTTAATGTAAGTGAGGTGTGCAGGGGACAAACTCAATGTTATATACTCATGTGTCAACTGCTACTATGCATTTATTTCCTTTGGCATTTGACTATGGGTTAAAGGTCACAAATTTGAATAATGGTTCTTATACTAGGCTTCCTGGTGCTTGGTGGGCTTATATATGTTCATTAATTCACTTTCATCTCATCCTTTTACTGAGGGTAGGAGAGAGATTCATACATACTTTTGGACAATTTTATTTGAAATCATTTTCTTGAAGGGAAATGGAAAAATTCAACTATAAATTAAAATATCCATTCAGCAGAACCATTTGGGTTCCATGTTTCACCCCACTTTAAGATATATATAAAGAACAGCAATATGTTATTAGTGCCATGCCAATTTCCCCACTTTGAGCATTTGCTGAGTTATACATCATTCTTTCTCGGAAAGTTTTTCTCAGGGAAAAACTGAGCGCTAAACTCCTGATAAGTTTCAAACAAAGATTACTTAGGGTCTGCCCTTGTTAAACAGAGGCATGCAATAAAAAATGGATTTCATCTCAAAGTAGTCAGGAGAACAGGAAAGGCTGCAGAGAAACTGCAGTAAGTGAGGCATGAAGAGAAGCTATTTCAGCCCCCTTGACTTGAGGGCAGATACATATGCATTCAAAATAAAAGATTTCTTTGGGTTTGGAGATTTTTAACAATAGGAGCTGATGATCAATGGAGGAAAAGAAAGCATGCTTTAATGATTTTTTTTGGGTCAGACCAACTTGACCTTTCATTTTTCATGAAGTCTTCCAATAAATGCATATACTCCGTTTTTCTATTCCACCTTTCCTAACAATTATTTTGATTTTCATGATTCAAATGGCTTTCTGAAATGCTATTATGAGGAATAGAAAAGAATGGGGAACCATGTTGCTCAGTGAGTGCTAGAAATATTCAAGGGAACAAAATAATAAAAGAAAACTCATCTGACCATTTAAAAATCTAACCCAATCCCATGTTTCTGGTCAGTAAGCACAAATATTGTGGCTGCCTATATGTGATTTTTTTTTCCTCATCAAATATAGCATGATTTTCTGAAAGCTAGAGATCACATCTTCTAATACTTCTGACACTTTACAACATTCACCATAATACCAAGCATGCAAAAACTCCTTCATAAGACATTTTAATACATCTGTCAATGGATTACTTGACAGATCAGATGCAAACAATGCTGCTTCTTATTCATTAGGTACAAATGCCTGAAAATAGTACACATGTATACTTGTCAACAACATATTATACTTAAGACATGTATTGGGACTCAGAAAGGTACCCATCAGAGGAGGCAAGCATTAGTCTTACCTAAATCTGCCTCGGGGTTCCTCAGCTTTGTGTGTAGAGAAGCAGCCAATGCCAGTGAATTGTAGAAATAAAAGTGAAATGAAAGAGGAGAAGAGACAGATATAGATTGTGAAGACAGATTTACAGAAGGCAGGTGAAGAGGCACTGAGTAGATTGAAAAGAAATAGAGTACAAAAGTTGGTAGACAGACTAGAGATAGTGAACTTATGGCTTAGAGGAACTTTCAAGACCAATCTGAGCCTATCTTTACATGATGAGAATACGGATAATCACTGTGTACCTGGTTTAGCTCTTCTGGAAGATACAGGATTTCATGTACATTTATTAGCTGAGTTTGTGAGGTCACACTATAGCTTTGGGAATATTTAGTTAAGTCCTTTTAAAACATAGATAGTAATGTAGCATGCAATGATGTTTATGATTTTGAATATGGGCTTAAATGACTGGAAATGCCATTTCAGAAGCCCTTTTTAATTTGAACTAAAAACTTAATATGTAAAACATTTGGACATACTTACCCAACAGACAGGAAAGGCTCCTTTGATTCAAGTCTATGAAAAAACATGAATATTTTATTTTAATATAACAATTTACTGCACATTCAAAAATTGCTTTTACATGAACCTGACAGAATTATTATACTGGTTTGTATGAAAATGCATAATTTAGCACCAGTAAAAAGCTATAAATAATATATTAAGACCTAATCTGGACTAATTCAAATTCTGGCTGGATTAATGCAGAGGCTAGTAAAATGAGAGTGCCTTGCAATGGGAACATAGCATTTAAATGAAACATTAAGATGATAATAGTGTTAGTCTAATTCTGATTTGCAATGTCCATTTCTACTCATTTATTTTATTCATGGTAATTTGTAGAAGTTTCTACATATTTATTTGTGGTTGTTGTAATAATGAAGAAATGTTTAATGTACTTGGTTACATATTAGCTGAATAATTCATTTCGAGGGTAAATATTGTGTGATGAAGCAATATATCATACATAGTTATAAACTGGCAGTAGCACCTCTTAGGGTGTGGGGTAGTGTCAGTTCACAGATTAGGGTCTATCTGCCTCCTCTCTGTCTCCTAAGAACTGTGTATTTTCTGTACCTTCTAACATATCAAAATGAAAGTCCAATCCTGGAGGTTCTGGTTAGTTACGACAACTTGAGAAAGCCATTAAAAAAAAACTTCTGTCGCTTATTTTCCTCATTCTAAAATGAGCCAGGATTACTACTAGTGAATTTTCTCATTTTATAAATTAACTTTTTATTCATTACAAAATGTCAATAAATCAGAAAAGGATCCACTTCTAAATATTTCCTAATTAATAATTAAGGAAACCCTTTGATAATTGTGTATTGGCCACATTACTTTCATCATAGGTCTCTTAAGATACAGATATGTATGAAATATAGGCAAATAAAGATATTTGCAACTAAATCCTGTTGTTTACCATTTTTAAGAAGCTTTCATATTTTAGCTTATTTCATTTATATATAAATAGTTGTATGAAATGGTAGGGCATTTAATTTGGCAACAAACATTTACTGAGTACCAGCTGACTACTTCCGCATATTGAAGTGGACAATTGAAATGATTGCCTTAGAATTAGACTAAAAGGTTTACTTTTATTTGAATCTAAACAATGAAGACAATGATTATGTTTTTATCTCCTTTTCATTCTGTGTATGTAAAATGATAACTTGTTAGAAATATGTCTTGGTGCACTTCTAGGCAGAACTGACATGAGACTCTGCTACCTGCCATGCTGCCTTGGGGAGATGACTATGACAGGAAGGTGACTCTTTTAGGGAGCAAGTGGCCTAGGAATTCCCCTGGACAGCTACAGGTATAGATGAAGCAGATAAAACTAATACACAGTGCTAAGTGTTTGGAGGAGTATATCTATGTGTACTTTCCTTTTCTGAATTCCAGTATTATTTATATCTTTACCTCTAGATACATTGCCTTCTTATGTTTATTTATTTTTCTCATATGTTTGTGATACAGATAAGCAAACAGAACTGGGGGGGGAGCTGAAGATAAATAATGAAAAATATTTAGGTATATTTGCTTTATAAGACATGACCAACGCCAAGTGAGCAAAAGGAAATCAGCTTGAAGAAATGAGAGGGATTCTACATAGAATGATAGCAGGGACTGCTTACTTATTTGGACAATAAACATCATGACGATACCATTTTCACCTTTATCTGATAACACTTTAAACATATATAACACGTGGGCTTTAATGAGGTCCCTTCTCTCTGCATCTGCCAATAATGTCAGCCTAACATCTATCAGACTTCAGTGTGTGTGTGTGTGTGATTTGCTTGTGTGAAGTGTTGCCCTCCAGCCTGGTAAGTTCCCCCGTTCTCCACTCCCTACACTGTCTCCTTGTCTCTCACTGCTGTGTGCTTCTTAGTGACACTGAATAAGATAGGGAGAGCATTTACAAACATTTTATATCTTTTTCCTCTCTTTCAGCCTCCACATCTCATTAATTACCAAGTCCTGTCAATTTTTCCTTTGTGACTCTCCCATTCCCACCTGTGCTCCATTCCCAGGCCAGTTCTCACTACTTACTCCAGCCTCCAAAGAGACCCAACTTTACACACTGCTCGCACACCAAGCTTCCTTCCATGCCGCTGCTCCTGCCGTTTAAGAACTGCATTGTACCGCTTTCCTTAAGAGTATCACATAAACAAATAGAATAGAAGCAAAGCCCACCACTTTTGCCTTTCCCTCTGCAATTACCAAAGTGCTGACTTCAGACTGCGTTTGAAGTAGTATTGATTGATTGAGTTTTTTTTTTTTTTTTTTCTGAAGGTTTCAGACAAGCAGCTGTTGGATTGGAGCGTATAGGACGTATGTTGTCCCACTGACTCCAGTAGTTCATATGGGTAGTCTGACTCGCTAGTTAGTTGACTCCTTCTTTTCTTACTACTTCATTCAACACTGCAATGATTTCCTTCCGAATGCTAAATAGAAGACTTCAGAGGAGCAAAGTTTGCAAAATGATGCTAGGTTGAGAGTTCTGACTGATGTTCTAGAGATCAAGGATTTGCAAACTCTGGCCTGCAGGCCAAACCCTGCTGGCCATCTGATTGTGTATGGCCCCATGCTAAGAATGGTTTTGATATTTTTAAATGGTTAGAGAATATCAAAAGAAGACTACTATTGTGTGATGCATTAAAATTGCATGAAATTCAAATTTCAGTGTCCCTAAATAAAGCTTACTGGAACACAGCCATGTTGCCTCATTTACATATTGTTTAAGGCTGCTTCTGTGCTGCAGCAAGTTGAATATTTGTGGCAGAGAGTGTATGTCCACAATCCTAAAATATTTACTTTATAGCTTTTACAGATAAAGTGTGCCAACATGTGAGATATTAATATAGTTATCTTGTTGGAAGAAACTGGAAACAATCTCTCAAAATAAGCGTTCTTTACTTTTAATACACATCATCAAGCAATTTTAATTACTTTTAATCCATATCATCAAGCAATTCTCCCATATTAAGAAATTCTGAATAATATTATTTGTTTTCTCTACATCACCATTTCAGCCTCTGACCCTACTGATATATTCCCCTAAAATGCTGTTTTTATGTCACCATATTTCTTGACAATTTAAAAAACTTTAAGATGGTACTCAAACTTTTAAGCTCTTCACAACCATGCCTGCATCAGTTTTCCACGTTACTCTTTACCACTTCTCCTACTAAACCTTTACTCTAGGAGAATTATTCATTTTTGTCAAGACATATCTAGGTTAGCTTTGCTTTGGTGCATTTTGAGTTATTCTATACCAGAATACTGTCCTTTCCTTTTTTCCCCCTATGCACGATCTATTTATCTTTTAAATTTATCTCAATCTAACTCCTTCATAAAGCCAATCCTGACACCTTCATCTTACAGGCAGAAGCCTGACTCTGAGCTAATCCTTATTATCTTCATCACTATGACTTACTATCAGAACGATAGTCTCCAATTAAAAAGCAAACTGAGAGTCTCGTTAAGAATGGTAAGGGTATTAAACCTGTACTCTGCTTAGACGAGAGAGTCCCAGCAGTTCTGTGTCAAGCCTCTTGGTGTGTCCAGAGGGGAGGTTGCTGCTGCTGCTGCTCTATGAACTGAGCAAAACGGAAACATTGTTGCTCATAGATCACCTTAAACCACAGAAGACAAGTCCGAGGTCCCAGGACTCTCCAGAGTATGTTCCGTGGTGAAGTGGAGCAGGAAATCTTGGTGGGGAGCCACTCAGGCCATCCTACCTTGTCTCTCATCTGCAAAATGAGGCTGCACTGCAGAGGAAAGTGAAGGATGCTGTGTTTTGTAACCTACTGCTCAGTCACAGTTCATTACGTTCGGTCAGCTTCCCTAGCCTTGAGATGATTCAGACATTCTGAATAACCTCATTTTTCTCAATTATATAGCAAGTCTCATGCCTAACTCAAGAGGCTGTTAGGAAGAACATGAGATTATGTCTTTTGAGCATCTAGCACAGTTCCTGGCACAGAGTGGATCCTGATGCTCACAACTATGCCAAAGACAGGTTGATAACTCTAAAGGCTGAAAATGCTTGAATGTATGAAAAGCTTATTTTAGTAACTTTAGCCTGAAAAGTGAAAAAATGTAAAAGAAGAAAATGACTAAGAGAAATATACCTTTGAAGAAAATTGTTTTTATCAATTTAGTCCTTAGAAACAGATGATCGCATTATGATATGCCTAGAGAGAACTTTTCTAAAATTTTTTATAAGGCCATTGTTTCTTGAAGAAAGGGTTTAATTTGATTTTTATCCTTCCTAAGATTTACTTTTCCCGTGAAATAGGTACAAAATTTAGTAATACTTTATTCAAGACCCACCAGAATTGAGATAAAATAGAATATAAAATGAAGATTGATATTTGGGGCTAAAGGAATTATAATGCTTCATATTTAACAAAAAGTAAACTATATTTACTAAATTATTATTATACCAAATGTTTATAAATACGAATTTACTTAAACATCTTGATACCTTCTGAGATAGTTCCCATTTTACAGGTGAGGAAACTGAGACCGAAAGATACTATGTACCTTGGCCAAGGTCATACAGCCAGTGAATGGTTGAGCCAGGATTTGAATTCAGGCAGTTTGGCTCCAAAATTCCTACGCTCCTGTCTCCCAGGGTATGCTGCATCTTATTTCTCTATTTTGTTGGCTTTGTTTTGTTTACATGTGCCTTAAGGCATTGTCACATTGTTTCTCTTTATAATTCTGCACTCTGCTGAAAATCTCATCTGGTTTTAAAAGTTTGCATGCTGGGGATTCTGAAACATGTCTCTAGCATCGTTCTATTTATGACACATGGCTATAGCTGTCCACCAAATATCTCTAATTGTAGGTGCCTCTAACCTAACATGGCTCAGACTAAATTTACTGTCTTCCTTCTTCATCCTATTCTTCCTTGTATTTCTCTAGCTTGAAACACTCAGCCACTGAGGTGACCAAACTAGAAAGATTAGAGTCAATCTCATTAATTTCTTTCCAACAACATT